GAGGAGGAGGAGGAGAAGGAGGAGGAGGAGGATTCCGAGGCAGGTTCTAGTGCCATGCCTATTTTTCTAAATGGCCAGTTTTGGACAGTAGCAACACGCTGCGAGACCGGGCTTCACACAACAAAGCGCCTTTGAAGGATCCTGCGTCCGCCACCTCCCATCCTTCTCTATGTCGGCCTGTACAATAAGCATGTGTCCTAGTAAGAGGAAATCTATTCTGGTTCTTGTAAAGAGGGGCGAATAGAATCCAGGAATTTGTTTTTTGAGCCAGGACTTGGTGATCCGTAATTTTTCCGATCAATGCAAACGTCCTTTAGCCGGAACATACGACGGAACTCGGCTTTCGGGCATGTGAAAGAGGACCCATCGATCATTCGCCTAGCCGGCAGGCATGCAGTTCATAGTAAGGTCGGCTGAAACGGAATTAAGAAGCCTACCGCTCGTGACAACACGTCTGTTTTTTCCGAACCTTTCTCCACTTCCGAATAGACTTCTAGCTGTCACACAGAACTGTCCGTTAGACTGAAAATACACCCGCCTTACAAGTCAGGACGATGGTTAATGGAAGCAGATTTTATATTCATAGCCGGACCCCCTTAAAGAATTCACAAGATCGACACTTCCATGCCTGTTTGACTAAACACGGTCACCGGTTGTGTGGCTTACAAACACAGGAAAGTCCGAAAATGTCACACAGGAGTGGCATTTAGCGGCGTTTCTTGCTCTCCGGTTGGACTATGTTGGACTTTCTCTCTACGCGGAGATCCAACCGAGAACTCACGCAGCTGCCTGAGTCTTACCAGGTAACCACTCATTGCGAGATATCATCTGCAAGGACAAGTGGACTAGGAATGACACCGCGTTGGCTTATTTAGCGTCATCGAGTGGATGATGATCCGGCGCAGGAGCTGATCGAAAACACCCCATGATGACACGATCATTTTTGGAATCGCGGCTCTCCTGGGCATGAAGACATGGCTGGCTGATGACGAAATCCAGGTCAGAACCGATCATGCAAGTCTCTCTTGTCCCCGTCGGAACACTGGCCCATGCCACCAAAAAGGAACTATTGAGGAAGACTTTTCGGTGTTGGCAAGTCACGGTTGGGAAGGCATTTTCTTCGACGTTACGGTCCTACTTCACTAAGCGTCTGAAATAGAGCCCTGTATTCCATAATTGTCTTAACCCCTTCTTGTCCCGAAATTCTGTCCTGCTGAGTACCTACGAGATAAACTGCCTCCGGCAATTCCGTTAAATCCCCTCCTCCAAACTTCCGGTCAATGCACCACCAATAGTCTGGGGGAAAATGCCTAAGGCAATGCTAGACGTGCTTATTTAAAGAATGCCAGGAATCGTTGACACATTATATGCATCGTGTGCACACCCCACAGTCGATGGCGTTAGTAGCAGGGCTCAATACTGATTGAAGGGTCCGTTTAATTGATCAGGGCTGACTGCCGCACCAGCGAAGTTAGGAGTTGGCGGTCATAACGAAGTGCGTTCACCTGTCGCGATCCCCGAACGGAATGAGGACGTTGTGCTTTGTCTTAGAGCTCTGATTTTAGTCATCATATGCGGTAACGGAACGAAAAGTGGGCATAAAGAGCGCGTCCCGCCTTATACGCAAACCGTCGTGGCGCCCTTAACACATGAATTAATATTACCCATTGCAACCTACAAGACCCAAATCCTATGGCCAACTAACAGGAGGACCTTTGACTTGATTCTCAATGACTGGCGTTCGGGTTAGGGCCCGAAGATATTCGATTTCTAGACCGAAAATATCCTCTCTATTCCCGTTCCTCTTGGTGATTATTCCACCAAGTCGCCTAAATATGCAAAAACACGCATGCCTGCCTTTCTTGGGCAGACTGGCAGTACAAAGCGGAAGACAGCTATAAAATATACAGTGACTGTGAATGGTGCCCTGCACGCAAGGGGGGGGGAATGAGCCCTCCGTATAGCGTGTTATTACGACCACTCCAAGCGATGGGAATCTTGACGAGTTCCGGCATCCCCACAAATGGACAAACGGCGCTGACGTTCAAATGGCCTTCTCGGCCATCCAATTACTTAAACAGTAGCAGCTTCCGGAGGGCAGGTGCGAATTCTACCAGAGTATACGCTCCAAATCGGACATTTGAGACCGACCCACCCCCTCCACGACTGGAAGGTATTTCCTTATCAAGCATGTTTACCCAATGTACTATGTTTGTTAATGATCGCAACTAGATGCCAGTGCGGTGCATATCAGAAGTCCTGGACTGGCCTAAGCAGGAAAGTAAACTTACCTAAATTTCAGAAGTTACTCCAGACCACTTAGCCTGTCTCCTAACACTTTCCCCAATTAAGCGCCCCACGCAACTCCCTTCGCAGTCGTTTTCACTCCAAAAATGCCACACAAACCTTCACCGAACATTCTACTGTTCAGGGCAAACAGTAAGTGCCTGGTTCAGCCGGAAATACTTAGTTTAAAGCGTTGTGGCTGAGTTCGGATGGATTCGGGACATACAAACGCGCCTGCGCCAGCGACTCGACAGTGTGGCACGGTCGACTGGGTAGCCACAACACTGAAACCCTGATATTGCAACAAAAATGACGGGAAAAACATGGGGTTTATGACTACGGCGAGGCGCTATAATTGTCTACTCAAACAGACACTGGAAAGACGAAATAAAATTTTGAAGGAAACTGATTGCGGAGATCGCTTAAGGTGGAGTCTCAGAACGTGGTGTTAGTGATACTGGGAAGGAGGGCTGATGGTTGTTCCTAAAGGACAACATCAATGACAGAGGTACACGCGGGCGTACGCGCGGCCAAGCTCCAATGTTATGGGTGAGGAGGGTAGAATGAAGGCGGAGAGTGATGCGAAGGAGAGCGCGAAAGAACGTATTCTTCGCGGGAGGAGGGAACCGGTACGAGGGGAATATTGTTCGGTAGTGAATCGACGACTTGCGGAATGATAACCGTTTCATGTCAATTGAAAAAGCAGAGGTTGGCTGACGGCTACAAGGCGCAAAATCAGCGTTGAGAACAACGTCCTTCATCACAGACGTCACCTCCCCGGCCACAGAGAGGGGGAGGGGGAGTAGAACGTAGATAAGCACACAGACGAGTTGTACAATGTGAATAATTATTAGGAAAGACCGGGGATAAGGGAGACAGAAAGTGTCAATAGAGGGAGGGTGAGAATGAGGGCAGGGGTTACAAAGTTCAATTACAGCGCTTCTGGGAAATGAAGCGGCAAAACACATGATGCAGAATAAAACGGGTAACTTTGAGTAGGGAAAAAAAGGGAGGCAGTTCATCGGAATCTAAAAAGATCTAGCATAAAATACAAAGACGAGGAAAAAACAGGTCCAAATCATAAACGCTAGGGCAGTGCTGATGTGCGCGTGAGCATAGAGTTGAGAAGATCCATCCATGGCAGTTTGTAGACCACTGACGGCCCCTGTTGCGTTAACTGAGGACAGAACGAGCTGACCGCCGTTGACAAATGAGGTGAGTTGTAAGGAGGAGGCTTGGCTGTCTAAGGGCAAGTGACGATTGCTTGTAGTGGTAGGGTTCTAATAGTAAGTTTCACGCTCCACCCAATTGCCCGGTGGTAGAGTACGCAACAGCTTCTTTCGAATCTCGTCGAAGATGAAGATTACAGCACTGAAGGGCAGGGCGGGCAACCACCACGTCCACCTAAAAGAATTTTAAAAAATTGCAGTTTGAACTAACTCCAACTTCGACTGTGGTCCAACAGGACATGGCCAGAATGCGTCCTGATTAAATGCTAATAATGGTCAGCCGGAGGCTTGGCGCCATCTTTAGAAGCTCACATGGTAGGGGGTCCCAAAACTGACCGATAATAAAATCACCGTCGTTCTGGGTTAGAAACTGCATCAATTCAATGGGACTGCAGCGACAAGAGGAACAGTGATGCACTAAGGAATAATGACCAAAGCGCGAAGAGAACAAGACATGGAGGAGTTCGCTTTCTCATTACTATTCTAGAAAACTAAGAATGGAGGCACAGTGCTTTTGTGAGTGGAAGTAGGCGCTCATACTGTTTTCCCTGCCAGACGCGCGTCCGCAAATCAATACTTATGGTCGGATAGTAGGCATTGCTGCTTCGTAATATGACACGTGCGCAGGGGTTCGGAATTTGTCCTCGGAAGCTAAGCATCCGCGAAGAAGGACTACAACAGATGCAGCGCACGGAACGTTTCAACGAAAATACGGTTGCTTGGAGCGGGTGATCAAAGTTCCTTTCTGCTGGTCCCTAATGAGCAGGAAACCAGGATTTTACTAAATATATGCATACATATGCACACGTGTATAGGTATTCACACATATCAACTATGTAACAATAATGATTTTGACCGCCCCATTTGATGAGGACTACCACTGTCCGGAGACGGCACAGTAGTTAAATTGTGTGAGTAAAGTTGTTTATGGCCAGGTAAACTTCTGCTCGCCTGTAGCAATCATTATCCAATTTGATGACAGGATCAAGGCGACCTGAGGGGGGCGTGGGTGCAGTGACTACAATCATGCCTAAGCACGCCACCATGCAAAACAGTCTCCGATCTCACATAATTTCCATCGGAGTCTGACTATCAGTTCTGAGCGGACTTAGTTATCCTGTCAGTCGGTGAGACTCGAAGGCGTGTTCAGTTGTGTATAGTAAAAAGGTATGCGCTGCAGTCGAGCTGAAACCACTCTTTGCTCTCCTAACAACAACGAAAATTCGGTGTCATGCCGAACACTGACCAACTAGATCGGACGAATTGGCCGACGCGGCATGAAACTTTCGCCTAGCGCATGCTACAAGCAAACATTGGCACATGCGAGGGATGAAAAACCTCAACGAGTGATAAAGTAGGCCTAAGAGGTTCTGGAACGCGTGGAGACGGTAAAAGGCAGCAGGCAAGGTGTATCTGACTGGTTTTGCTCAATGTACCTACCGTTCAAGAGAGACAATCAGTCTGCAAGGGAAAGTACACTAAAACTCCTAGAATGCGCAGCAATGAGAAGTGAGACCGACTCACCGTAGGGGCATCATGTGCAGACCATGCTCCAAGCCGGGGCAGTAGGAAAGGATGATTGCCAGGGTGGTTTCAAAGAACAGACCAAAGGTGAGGTAATGATTCCACATGCCCTGCTGGAAAATGGAGTTCTTGCGGGTTTTGCAGATGAGCAGATCAGTCCACTGCACAATGACGATGGACGAGAAGAAGGCGGTGTGGCATGTATACTCGAGACGTTTGCGCTGGTTGTACGTCTGTGTGTGCGTGTGGGCGAAGAGAAAAAAGCAGGTAGGCATAAAACAAAGTGGAAGGAGACAGGGCAAAAGTAGTGTCATCAAGGAATAGTTCACGTTTCTTTACAAGTATGAGAATATCAGAAAGGCAAAGCCAAATGTGTAAGCATAGGCAGGCACGAGGGGACCAATACGATATGACGAACGAGTTTCGAGCATGTGGAGAAAGGGAGTCGCAAGTCGACAAACACGTGATCTGGACTACAACGATTGAAGCCAGGAAATCGTCGAATGAACAACTAGGCATACACACCAGTCACGGGGTCTTGCATATGCAACATTTAAGCTAACTTTTTTAGCCCAACAGGCGGGCTAACTCATGAAATGTCAAACGAAATTCCGAAATGAGCTCTCGCTTCGAAAAGATTAACTAAGTAGGGTTGTAAAACTGATCGACGTGCAGCATAATTCTATAATAATCCCAGTTCCCCCAGGATGTAGCATGTATTTTTCCCGGTGATTTTCGGTGCCTTTAAAAATTCAATTATATTTTATTGAAAAAATGTATAAAAAATATGCATTCTTTTATTCAATCCGCATAAAATGACGTCTTCTTCCAATTTTATACTCGAAGGCGGGGGATATTCCGGTTTTTAAAAAGTTTCTAATTGTGAGATTTTTAAATACCGTGAAATGTGGTTCGTAAAACGTCATGTCTCCGAATTTACCAATGTGGTTTGTAAGGTCAACAATATGGCTCAAATCCATTTCTAAGTTTTATGAACCCCATAAAGTCTCCTCTTAATACCGTAGAGAAATGTATGGTTTTCCGTACACGGAAAATACAGGACCTGTAGTTTGGAAACCCCAGCTGCACGTGTAACGGCAGGTCGGGTTCAAAGTTATTCAGGGATTGGAAAAGTCTTTTTAAAACGGAGTTATACCTTTATTCGAGTATTAAGTTGGAAGAAGACGTAATTTTCTATCGAATGCGTGCAAGAATGAATATTTTTATGCATGTTTTCCATGAAATATAATTTAATTTTTAAGAGCATCGAAAATCAGTGAGAAAAATGCATGCTACTTATGTAGTCACTTTTTGCAGAGTACAGTTTTTCTATGCAGCCGGAGAGACGTTCTTGCGAAAGCCGGCATCCTGGGGTAACCGGATTATTATAGAATTATGCTGCAGTTCCATCAGTTTTACAACCCTACTTAATTAATCTTTTCGAAACGAAAACGCATTTCGGTTGACATTTCATAAGCTAGCCCACCTACTGTAACGCGGACGTTGGTCATGGCAAAAACAAACTGGCATGATAAAGGTCTGGGGTAAAATGAAAACACCTTGCTTCTGGTGGACGTTTTTGGCAAACCAGCATTCAAACAATCAGGGCTTTTATGAAAATAATCAGCATGAAAGTACGCAAGAAAGGCGTCGGTCCTTCTCCTCCGTCCACCAGCTAGGCTATAATGGTTCAAACGAGCGCGCAAACTAAATGAGATGAGATCACTAAATATATGGCAAGATCACTTAATCTGACACACTGTTAACTCCGTGAAAATCCTGACAGGGGCAAAACGTTTGAAGCACTGTAAAATATCCACTCCAAACACTTTACACAAAAAGGTGCTTATGCCCTCACTTTGTAGTCGACAATGGGATAAATCACTGCAAATCCTTCCAAACAGGTACCAGCGAAATCGCGGTGACTGGAGAAGGGATGTTCGTGTGCGAGAGAGAGAGCTACCCCCTAAAGCGGGCCAAACGGTAGATGCACTAGACCAACACGGAATCTGGAACGGGATCCGACAGGCGTCACTGGGAACGCGTACCCACAACAAATGCTAACACTGGGGTGTGGTGACGCACCCAGGGTGCAGACCCACGTCGCGCTTTTTCTTGTTGTATAAAATCGCGGTCACTGTCTGTTATAGACCAGGGAGTGTTGTGGTACGTCTAGATGCGAATTTCTGCCGTACTAGCCAACTGAATCCTCTCCCGCCCCGGTCCTTTGACTCTGTCTTAACAGTGGGTCCAGATGTGAGAGGAAGAGGAGGATTGAGTGCGGTAGATGCGGCGGAAGTCCATCATTACTATAGACTAATTCACGCGCAAATCACTGCGCCTGCTCTACGCAGTTGTGGAGCACACGGTGGACATCATCCGCCGAACTTTCGTATGTGTGTGTGTGAGAGAGAGAGAGGGAGGGAGAAAGAGAGAGTGAGGCGACGTACCCATTCCTGGCCGTAAGAATCGGCAACATCATTGACTGCTTTGGAGTCCCACTGCTTTCGGAGGCCCACAAGACGAGATGGCCAGAAGCCGTTCTCCGCCATGATGACAAAGTAGACGAAGAAACCGCCGGAGGCCTGGATCATGCCAATCTGTCCGTAGGCCATGGAGATTAGACGCTCGTTGACCAGTTTGTCTTTCAGTGGATCACGTGGCATACGCTTCATAATGTCGCTCTCAGCCTCTTCATAGGCCAAGGAGATGGCCGGAACCTGGGATGAAACAAAAAAGAGGAAATAACGCCAAGTCAGGTGGTAAATCCACAAAAGGGTTGGCAACATGGGTTTGGCAAACGGACTTACCATATCAGTTCCCAGGTCAATGCAGAGAATCGTGACGACGCCGAGAGGCAAGGGTACATCGGCGAGAATGAACACCAGGAAGGGTGTGATCTCAGGGATGTTGGAGGTCAGAGTGTAGGCAATTGACTTCTTCAGATTGTCGAAGATGATGCGACCCTCCTCGACACCAGTCACAATTGAGGCAAAGTTGTCGTCTAGAAGGATCATGTCTGCTGCCTGTTTGCTCACATCGCTGCCTGTGATGCCCATGGCCACACCTGTCAGGATCGGATTGCGATGAAAAGGGAGGGTGATTCAGAGTGGTCAAACAGTTTATGTAGAAAGCCGTATCAATGCCAAATGAGGCATCTACTAAAATGGTTAAGTTAAGCTAGACCGTGCATACACATGACGGAAAAAGATTAAACGTGCTGACTGCAAGACGGCGATGCCGCCGTTCTAGGAACGACCTCATACTGATGTTCACATTCACGGTGTTTTGTGCTCTGTCTCCATCTGCTGAGGCCCGTGTAATCAACAGACAACTAACACTGATGAATCTATTTGCGATTTTGCCGTTTGTGACATTCTACCGCCTAGTAACTGAAACAATGGGAAACATGAGGGAACTTTTGCAAAGCACGCATACAATGTCGACAGTTATATCAAAGAAGGTCAACCAATGCAGGCCGTGGAAACTGGCCCTAATTATATGAGACCACCAAGTGTTCAGGTTGAGAAGGTTGAAGAAGTTCCAAGCGCAACCAATTGCTGACGTAAAATGCCGACTCTCCAATAAAAAGCTGGTTAGAAGCGGCAGCAGCAGCAGCAGCAGTAGTGAATCCAAATTTGGACTGCAACAGCCCTATCAATCACAGCTGTACCTGGTTAGTGAAGTCCGTTTGTTAGGCGTTTAAAAACGACTTACTTCTAACCCCAGGTACGACATGGGAAATCTTATAGACGCCGGCCTGAGGAAAGGCTTGTATTTACGGTCTTCCGAATTACTTCCAATTGCGCAGTCTCTTCAGTGTCGTTTACTGCTGACAGATGGGAGCATCAAAGCGCGTAGAAATTAAACATTATAACGCACGCATACGCCCGGACGCAGGCGGGATGTAAGGCACAACAATCCCCGCAAGAAGAGCACGGTGTCGTCCCAAGTTATATGGCGCGGGAAACTACGATTGTAGCAGCCGCTCCAGGTCCCTTTTCTCCGGCTCCGTTTTGTCGGTCAATGGCCGCGACAATCGGTGCCAGGCCGCTGACACACAACCACCCCCGCCGGCTAGAACTGGGGCCCCTCCTGTTCAGCTGCAGTGACCCCCGGCTTCCCCCCCCCCCACAAACTATTATCACCTCATGCGCGTCGGACGACCTGGCTTGATACCCGTGAGCCTCTGTAATTATGCTTCCCCCTAATCCGTCCAGTCTCATGACCGGCACTCAACCAGTCAGCCCCACCTACTGACACAGACTTTCACCCCGTGTAAACGACACACCGCGACTGACGCTCTCCGTGAACGGACGCTTATCTCTGTTGCAAGCAAACAGCCAACAACTTACCGCAACCTGCCCTGTGTACAGAATAAACTAGTCCTCACAGCTCCCTGACATTAGACGATTTAAGTTGATCTCACATCCTTGACCGCCACAAGATTAGCGCTGTGAATGCAGCGAACACATGGACCGTCTCTTTGCGGTGGATGCTAAGCCCGATCAACGACCAGAGGTGGAAGTAAGCGCGTTGGCATTTTCACACTATGGGCTCTTCCGTAATTATCAGAACTGCAAACAGGATCAGGCTTAACGCTTCCGAGTCGAGAGAGGGAGAGATGGGGAGAGAGCGCACACAAGAGGAACACTTTTCGTTTCGCCTGTGCGCAAATCCTGTTGCGTACCCGGAGGTCATAAACTCTCTTTCACGAACATGATAGATTGACCGCCGCAAACGACGAGGTCCATCGCTGTCGGCCGCGGTAGGCAAAGCCATGACTCGCGTGTAAACATACTTATAGTAAAGCAGATCTGTTATTGTCTCCGATGATGGATTCGAGCAAAAATCCGAAATGTCAGGCGAGTAAAGCTCTTGTACCGGCGATCATGTCTCCTTCTTCAGGACTGGGACCTTTGCGCAGATAGCCGCAAATGGAAATGCCCTTAGAATTGACAAGCCGTATTTCTTCTTTCTACCAAGCTCATAGGCTCTTTAGTCGCCTCTCACTTTTGACATCATCATTCATACTTTCGTCCCACAGCGTGTAGAGGGACGTCGGAGGGAGATATATTGGTTAGACATTGGATAGGAAGGCACGCAGAGAGATAGGGAGGAGTGATTATGTGGGAAAGCTAGGCGGGGAGTGATCCGCATCCATTAGGCCTAACTCTATGACGGGATAAGGGTACTCCGAAGCTCCTGAAAAAATGGAACGGTGGATATCAGTGGCTGAATCGGTGTGGGCCCGTTGCTCAACTGGTTAGACCAAATGACCAACTAGGCACGAGTTCAAATCAAGGATATTTCCGAGCCTGGGATTGTGGTATGACCGGTTAACGACGGTGAGCTGTGAATGGTTTTACACGTCCCTGTCGACATAGAGTTGTCGAAGATGACAGAAATTGCGCAGAACGCTGACTACAGAGACTACTGGGTTCAAATTCTGAGCGACCCAATTCAGAATCTTAGACAGCTGAGCGGTAAGAATAACAGGACAGAGACATAAACAGGCTAAATTTGCGACAGAAGTGCCCCAACCCAGCCCTACCTCTTAGCACAAGGCAGGTCAAGGACAATAAAGGCTGGCGATGTGTGTGTTTCCTTACGTGAACGTATGCGGACAGTGTCTGAGGCCTGGGAATGGGAAAAGGGAGTGAGGTCGACAACTCAGTGCATTTTATTCACTATAAACGATCTGATGCGCTTGAAGCTATCAAGGTGAGCCAAAAGACGCGGCTTGGAAGGTTGTCAACTGAAGGGATAAAATGGACCTCGTTGTAGACTAGTGTGTCTGGATGGAACAGCCGACTGGTGGTCTGGGAGTCAGGCTGCAATGGCTCCTTAATGTGACTTTTGTGGCACTTCCACTCCGTGGGATTTGAACTAGGTGTAGCGGCACGCCTAGGGGCGGCTTCGGCCGCGCCAGACACCTGCGTTCTCCCCCAACTCCGGTCTCCTTGACTATGTCTTGACACCAGGTCCAGGTGGGAGAGGAGTGTGGTAGATGCAGCGCAAGTTTACACTCACCGTAAACTAACTAGCGCACAATTTATCGTGTCTGCATCGCTTTGCTGTGGAGCACATGGTGGACATCGTCCACAACGACGGTCGAAGTATCGTGTGTGTCCTTAAGTGTTAGATTGTTGTCTCCACCTGGAGGCCTACCCTAGCGTCCTACCCTCAGTCGGTTGGTGAATAAGGATCTATGCGCACGGCTCGGTACCCGGCATGCAAGTCAGGCCAGCGTTCAGAGTCGAGCGTAAGTAGAAACATCGCGGCCAGTAAACACTTGAAAACGACTACTTCCGCGCACAAAAAAGGGGCAGAGTGGCAAAACGGCACTGACAACTCGGCCGGCAGTAGTTAATCACTTATCGTAGCCTAGCTTGCTGAGTTACCTACCGTCATGCCTGTGAATTGACATCCTTTTGAACTCAGCCTGAACTGAATGGAGAGAGGGACAGTCTGGTCAACTGCGACTTGGAAACAGTTCAAGCCAAAACGATGCTCACGACTGATCCTGATGCAAAACCACGTGTTAGATACGCTTGCTAAACGCCCTCTGTGATGGCTAAGGAGCAAACAGTCATCTGAGCGTAGACGAGGAGGTGGTCAGCAACAAATGCTACTTCATATTGAGCAGTACTTTTGACTGATAGGCTGTCTATGCTCCGTGAGGATTGAACAGGTAGTCAGGTGGCGATATTTGCCTAAACTCATTGTGCCAAGCATTTTTACAGCTGATAAACAAAGGCAAACTCATGAAAGTCCGGGAACATAATATTGGCAGTGACCGACCCACATGCCGTGAGTTGTTGATCAAAATCCTTGAAGTGATAGCGGTAAAGTACTGCTGACCGTGGTGGTGGTGGTGGTGGTGGTGGTGGTGGTGGTGGTGGTGGCAGCAGCAGCAGCAGCAGCAGCAGCTTACCAATATCAGCTTTCTTCAAGGCAGGTGAATCGTTGACACCATCGCCCGTGACGGCCACAATAGCACCCTGGCGTTGAAAGCCTTCGACAATGATCAGTTTCTGCTGTGGACTGGTACGGGCGAACACAATCTCCGAGTGGTTTGTCAAAATTTCATCGATTTGAGCAGGTGTCATTTCACGCAGGTCCGAACCGTGGACAACACAGGCTACCGCTTCGCGTGGGTTTATCTGGACAAAGTAGGCATAAAGGTTAACGTAATTCGAGGAAATTATGCATAAATAAGTAGTTTCCACCTTAACGCAAAAAATCCTCTTCAATAAATTGCAGCAGAAGTTAGTGTGCGAACCTGGCTAACAGGCACTCCGCGTTCGGCCGCAATGTCTTCCACAGTCTTGTTGCCGTCTGAGATAATTCCGACACCCTTAGCAATGGCCTTTGCTGTAATCGGGTGATCACCAGTAACCATGACAACCTTGATTCCAGCAGATCGGCATTTGCTTACGGCATCAGGTACAGCGGCGCGAGGCGGATCAATCATGGACATTAAACCAACGAAGCGTAGACCATCGATGGGGAAGTTTTGGTTTTCCACGTCGAAGACAAAGCCCCTGTGAGACAAGCCGACAGGAAAGAGAGTGAGTTACAAACATGAGGAAGACTGCAAACACACAACAATAGTGATGGGGTTAAATACTTGGCGGGACAATGCAGGGGACGAAATAAGGCTCAGAGATGCAGTCGGACGGGAAATGAGGAGGCTATGGAATGCCAAAAAGGCAAAAGACGCGCCCATGTACACAAACAACCGCCCCCGAAAAACTACGTGTTCATGGGGGCACGGACGATACTTACTTAGGGAAGTCCTGAGTGGGAAGTCGCAGGTCGCAGAATCCAAGGACACGCTCGCCGATGCCACCCAACTCGAGGTAGGCGTCGTTGAATTTGTCCCTCCAATGTTCGTCCAGGACCAAATCCTTTCCATCGATCAAGATGGTGCTGCATCGATCCAAAATACGTTCAGGCGCTCCCTTCATGACGACCAAGTAACGATCATCATTATCATCTGTGTCATGAACCGAAACCTGGAGGGCGCGATTGGCAAAAGGAAGGAAGATCAGTAACCCGGTGTGGCCCGGCATCAAATTCGCCGTGGTGAGGGGTTCAATGTGGCCTAGGTTGGAAGTGTCCGGAGAGTTATTAACGCAAAAACACATAGGACGGAATGCAGGCGTGCCGTTTTTCCTCCGAACTGCTAGCCACGGCCCTTGAGGGAGGTTGCACGACATTGAACAATCTATAATTAAGAAGTACTACAAATAAAGACAAAGGAGACTGCTGTGTGTGATATTTGTCTCAATCGCCTTTCTTAGCAAGTCGTAGGCAAACCTGGCGGGCATGAGCGGACCACACACGTTCTTTCTAGCCTCGCCTGGCTTTATTGATGACAATCTCCAACCGGTCTTCCGCCGGTTTGGTAAAGTTCATGGGCTCGAAATGTCGCAGAGTCTCCTAGGTACAAAAACCAATAGAATATGGCGGATAAATGGCAAACACTACTAGCAGATAACCCCCAAGCCACATGCCCAAATTGATGGATCTCTTAAACCATACACAAAAGTAAGGAACGGGAGCCCACTGATGCATCCGTCAACTTGCCTGATATTTGTTGGTAGAGTTGAAGGGAATCTCGGCGACCTTGGGATTCCGTTTACGGTACTCGGTGACACCACCGATAGACATCTCGACGCATTTGAGCAGAGCCGATTCCGAAGCATCACCGTTGCATTCACGTTTGAGTACAGGTTTTGATTCTTCACCAACTTTGAATTCAGCTCGGTTGCAGAGCATAGCGACGCGGGCCAGGGCCAACCATGTGGAGGACTCTTTGTTGTGTGTGGCAGCTTTACACAGAAAGGAAATAGAAATGTCATGAGCTTTGGCTGGCGACTCCCCGCACAAATGAGAAAGGATTCACTAGGTGGCGTCCGTAAAAAGGGAAGGATAGACAAGACGTAGGACGTAGGGGTTCTGCAGACAGGTTGGAGGCAGAAAAGAAAAGTTCCAGAGAATTATGAAGATGGACGGATTCGAATGGATTACTGGATTACAAACTCAAGGAAACGGAGGGGGTAAAAGCTGGCACTTGAAATTCACTACAATCGTTGCCGCATGATCTACGTCAAAGAAAAGGAAGGTTACCGTGATATTGGTCGTCTACCGAGAGCGAAAGGACCTTAACTGTAGCATGTTAAAGCACAATGGTACGCACGATGGTGGTATATCGAGATACAGCAAGCAGTTCACCAACCTTTTGCAACATCCTCCAGGAGTATGATGGCGCTAATATAAATGCCAACCCAGATGAAGGAGGGAACTCAACAAAGGCGCGCCCTCAAACGCACCCAAAGATGTACTCGAGGAGCAAGAGGAAAAGTGTCTGGAGCTAAAGATGCGTAAAAAAAGCTTAAGCCGAATTAAAAATAATTACGGTGATCTCGTTAGTATACAAGTCCAACACACATGGCATATGCATTCTATCGAAAGAAATTTTCCCAGTAAAACCTACTCGACTGTTCATCAGATGTATCAGCCTCGAAGACATTGTCATCGAACCACATATGAGCAACAGTCATTCTGTTCTGCGTCAGGGTACCCGTCTTATCCGAGCAGATGATTGAGGTAGAGCCCAAAGTCTCAACGGCCTCCAAGTTCTTAACCAGACAGTTTTTGCTGGCCATTCGCTTTGCCGTTAGGGTCAAACACACCTAGCAACGATAGACGTAGATGCAATATAATCAACGTAATATAGGAAGTGGGGATTATCTTCTAGACTGGCCACACATCGCAGGATGACTGGATTTAGCACGTGTTTTAAACTGCAAAATGGGTTATCATACCCACAACATAAGCACCAGTTAGAAGCCTCAGATATGTATTTCGCCAATTTTGTGAAACTGGGTAGAGCGACTGCGAGGGGACCCGCTCAACAGAAGGCCACACAACGTTGTAATGTGATTTTGGTAACCCCGCAGTTATAAAAGATAACTCCAGAAGTTCCTTCGGAATTGTCCGGAGAACTCGTCGAAAAAACTGGCCTGACGGGATATTTTAGATTTAGCAAGCGCTTTTATACAAAACCTCAAGTACCTGGCAAACAACGTTTGGCAACTGCTTAGGCTATGAATAAGACGATGTGATTTCGAAGTTAAGAAGTGAACCACTGACCGCAAAACCAGGCAATGCGCGCGTTTTAGATAATCCAATGTAGTGTTCCTTACTCCCAGGGTGTTTCTATGCCAAACGTACAGTTGTCTGCATTCTCACAGACAAAAGGTTGGGCAAAAATGGCACACATTAATAGCTTGTGTACAATGCCCTTTAGAGAAAAAACGGCGGAATAAATGTGGACGGAAAACGTACCGTTACAGTGGCCAAGAGGCCCTCAGGTACGTTGGCGACAATGATGCCAATAAGGAAGATGACGGCTTCCAGCCAGAAGTAGCCCTGAATGAATGCGATGATGAAGAAGCTCACGCCGAGGAAGACAGCCACACCAGTAATGATGTGGATAAAGTGTTCAATTTCTCTGGCAATGGGGGTCGTACCCGTTTCCAGGCCAGAAGCTAGGTTCGCAATACGACCCATGACTGTACGGTCACCGGTAGCGACGACGATACCCCGGCAAGTGCCTGTGACACATTGGAAAGATACGGCAAACAGTAATCAAGAAACAACAACGGGAACTCTAAAGGTTCAAAAGGTCAGAGGAAGGATGTAAGGAAAACTTGCCTTCCACAGCATTAGTAGAGAAGAAGGCCAAATTCTTAGTTTCAAGGGGATTTTCATTTGTGTATTCAGAAGTTCTTGACTGGGGCTCGGATTCTCCGGTAAGCGCAGAATTGTCGACCTGCAAAAGTAAGCGTTTTTTGCCTCATAATGTAATCTATCAACCGAAAAGAAGTAATTAAACAAGGACTGTCGTCAGTCTCATTCAGGAGAAATGGGGTCCAGCCGGTGAGCACTGCGGGCAGGATAAATATTGAGCCCAACGGACATATTTCTCACGGGACAGGATATTAAGGGAAGTACAATGATCCAGGATTGGTAGCGCTAATGCGAACAGCGTAAAAGCAGAATTATCAGCAGGCGGATAGCTTGCTACAGAGTCATTTTTCTTTGCCCAAGACGTTCTACGCCTAGCCTACCCTGCATGCATCCAGAAAGGCACATAGCACGTTAGCACAGGTCATTCGGGCAATAAAAATGCTAAGGTCAAACAAGACTGAAAACGATACGTAAAGAATATCCGAAACTTGGGAAGTTGCTTCTGTTGCAGCTAGACAAAGTCAATAGTTATCAGATCATCAGGTTACGCGTTATCAGTTAAACCACGTTATCAGTTTCAAAATAAACGTGGAAGTGGTTGGCATATGGTGATGGCTGCTGGCCACAAAATCCGAGCATAAACAAAACAAATTTTCACAGTAAACAGACGAGGAACGCGCTTATGTCGGGCGTAGTAAGAGCAACACAATACCGAGTTCGGCGGCTAGTGCTAGCTCGTGTACTGAAATCTACTGTTTTCCAGGGCAAGAATCCGTAAACCTGTTCGTTTCCAGGTAAACAATTAACGTGTGCGATTAAAACGCTGGATTAGTTGGCGTCATCCTCGGATTTGTTTATTTACTGCCTAAATACAGCCATGAAACTGGTGACCATGCAGAGCGGCGTAATCCCAATTAAAGTTCACTTTTGTTAAAAATTGGCTGCGTCTCTTGCTTTTGCAGTGAGGAGTGGTGTACTGGAGGGGGAGCACTGGTATTAATGCTAATGAAAACGAACCTTGAAGGAGCTGGCCTTGATAATACGAATGTCGGCAGGCACACGATCACCGAACTTCACCTCGATGATGTCGCCAACAACGAGGGCTTCTGCCGGAGCGTCAACTTTTTGGCCGCCGCGAATAACCACAGCAAACTACGGATAGAAGGCAGAATGAAAGATAAGAAATCGTGTAAAAGAGGCCTGTGTCCACTAGCCGAACCTAACATTGTAAAGGCACTACGTACAGAAAGAAAATTTCCGCAAGAATGAGTGAGGAATTAATAAATAGGAATCAAGAAACTTGAAACTGTTTCAGTGTTAAAAAAATCACGAGGAAAAATGCTTGACAACGGCATACCTGAGGAACCATCTTCGCGAAGGATTCCATAATTTTAGAGGATTTTGATTCTTGGTAGTACGAGAAGCATCCGGTTATGATGACTACAGCAGTTAACACGATACCCAAGTACAGCTAAAAGGATAAAAGCGACATAAAAACAGACGGCAATGCACAAAATGATCTGCTGGAAGGCTAAAAAGTACTGCATTACGCCCTCGAACTGCGACGACGGGCGGGAGTGAATGTAAGAAAATAGCAACCAAACTAATTTGTCTATGGCATTATTAGACAATGGGGATTCGAGGTGGCATTTTGAGACTTTACCGCCAAATTTATACTACCTGACTTTTCAGCGTAATATGTATACTCTGACCTTAGTTAATACAAGGTATTGGGTACCCGTTACAAAGAGACCATAGTTTTGGCCCACAACAACATAAATCTGAAAGCAAATAAATCCCAAATGAAGCACAGTGAATAGGTCAACAACCAATCTAAAAATGATTATATCACCGGCGCAAAACAGAAAGCCTTAAGGCATAGGTAACAGCTAAAACTACTTCTCAAAAGCTCCCCGAATTTCTGTTTATTTTTCAAAAAGACATTAGATTGGAAATTGAAAGGCGGGTTCTACTAGTGACTGGCAATAAGAGCCGAAATGTCAAGGCCAACAGGAAAGAAGTCATTTACACCGAGACTGTAGATGCTGCGACATCAACTGAATATTACGTGCGCATGATACGAAACTCACAGTTTTGACAGAAACACCGCGCAGATATAAATGAGATCGGGCACAAGTTAAAGTAAATCTATGAAAGGGCGATAATGACCACCCACAGGTTCCGAGCTACAATTTCTACGCAGTCATTGCGGCTCACCGCACGCAAAAATGAAGAACGATAGCAAATGTGGAGACCCAGAAAGGATGTTAGGAATAAGCTGACGTAATCATGGCCGCCTCAACACTGACCAAAAGTATAATCTGAGTGGCAGGTGTTGGCCCAATTTCACAATACTGTTTACATAATATATCAAACCAAATAAAGGGAATGTTTTCTACGCAATTCTTGTTCAAAGATATAAAGCTGATTATTAAGAATGCAGTTGCCAACTTGCGTTATCATTAGATGGATGTTCCTGAACACTAGCAAGAATACCATGGGCTATGAAACAAAGGACAGCACCAATCCACAGAAGTAGCGAAAATCCTCCAAACAAGTTTTTGCAGAATTTCACCCACTCGGGTGTTGTTTTGGGAGGCGTCAATGCATTCGGTCCATCACGATCAAGGCGTGTCCTGACATAAAACATACAAACCGTCAAACTGTGCTTACTTTGCCTGTTCACTGGTAAGGCCGGATTCCGGATTGGTGCCAAGACGAGCATACAGTTCTTCGAGGCTTATTCTGTGTTCGTCCATCTCAAGCTCTTGCTTAAGTTCATGCATATCCCGCTCGGACTTCTTCTCCTTGCCGGTGGCCCCAGTGACCTCACGATACTTTCGATCTCGCTAGATCAGGATAAAGACATGTTAGTAAAGTAGAACAGAAGAGTAAACAGAAATCCTGGAGACTTTACGCACCGACTTGACACCCATTCTCGACTCTGCAGCCACTCGAGCCTGTTGTATCCAAAACCAGCGCTGTTTTAAATGCCCGAGTGAACTCTTTAGATTTTCTTAGCTTAGTGAAACAATAACTAGGGAATAAAACAATTTTTCTGAATATACTGAATGTTAGTCGACTGGTCTCAAGATGATTAATAAAATAGACATTTGTACTACAAAAATGCCACGAGTTGTGTTGCAGCACTTTACTTAGCATCACAACTTCGTTTTCCCAAATGGTAAGCCACGAAGATAGGGCTTGCCAAGGTGCTGAGCAATAGCCAACAAAGTGCCTTTCTAGTGTAATGTCCAACAGTTGTTGGCAAGCTTCCAATGCCTGTCTGAAAATTTCCCCCATTATCCTCCGGTGAACTGCCCCACCTGGAAAAACCATTAACACTGTAACTTTCACAAAGGACGCAGTAATGACAGTAATAGCATTGAAATCTTAACTGGTTTCGTCGACCACGCAGGCACCAGATTGTTCTCCTGTGTCAAACTGGTCCTTCATTTACATGGTTTTGGTCTGAATGGTAGCTGTTGATCGGTGAGCGATACCCACGCCGAACTCAGCAGCTATTTGTTCCGCTGCCTCTGACACGCTTTTTACATGCGGTCAAAGGTCCTGAATGTTGACGAGTATCCTACGTTTGTTCCCCGTGGGCGAGTACGGATGCAGAAGGACAATCTGGTGGCGTAACCTAGATTTTACGTTTTTAAAATAATGTTAAACTTCGTTTGTGCCTGTCTTCGGTCTCGCTAGCAACTACGTCGATGAGAGACATGAGCTTCGCACATTGCTGAGACGCGAGTGTTGGCAGTTTTCCCTCAAGAGGGATGCTAAGAACGGAGAAGAATTGATCCGTAACGAAGTATTATTTTTTTAAATTATCGCGTGCTCCTAGATATATTTTGTTCATATTGACTATGGGTTTCAAATTAGAAGCATGGAGTTTAGATTCCTTCAGCTTTCAACGAAGGGTTGTCTGGGGTTTCGTCTCGAAAAACGTAATAGAAGGATTTGACCCTAATTTTTAGGGATGATAACTACCGGAACTTTGAGGATATAAGGATGGGGCCATGTATGATTGAGTAATTTCTGCTTGGGCAGTAAGCTTACTGTAGCAGATTTGGTGGCACCAGACGTTGCAGTATGTTGGGCGGGTGAACTTGACCGAAATGTGGCGAAACTCACGTCGTCCGTTGGGGCCTCCTAGCTCACATGGTTAGAGCGTTGGCTGTACCAAAACCAACCCTTGCTGTTGTTGGTTCGAATTCCACCGAGACACTAATACTTTCACAGTTGGGTCAAGGTGAATTATTGGAAATCTGTCATAACATCTATGAATTTCTGAAAGCTATTAGTATTGGTAGACCAGACAGCACAATTGCTACTAAGCAATTTTACTCAATAATAGAAGAAGCAAGTAAGTGAAGACTTCATAGGTGGCAAAACAAAACTCTGATTGGAATTTGTATTGATTACTGATGCTATGGGGGATAAAATAGAAGACAGTCTAGTCCTCTTAATAGTTAATAAGTCGACAATAAAATTGGTGCGTAGGAAGACTTATCACTTAACGTTTAATTTTATCCAAACATTTTACGAGGAAATCTTTCGATGTATACAGTAAAATTCAAAAGTATTGAGGCTATGTTGAGTGAAAAATTAGGACACTTTATTACCGCTTTATGATAAATGGATAAAATACGACGGGAAGATTAGGAGACGTACAACTAAAAATACTGGACAAAAACATGGAAACTGTACAAAAGATTAGAATCGTAATAAAAACCATAAAATTTTTGAAATTCTTTTCACAAACGACATTTGATCCCTCCATACGCACTACGTCTGCGTAGCCTTCGAAAGCGATCACAAAGCAATAACATCGGAGTTTAGTAACATTCACATAAATCAAAAAAATTGTCAAAGTCTCCATAGACAATTATGCTGTATCATAAGACTGGAGTTCATGGCTTCTAAGAACGTCCATTATTGGGCCGTTGACTTCTTAAATTATGCGAAATACATCAATAGACAAAGATCTCCGCAAAAGAAACCACCAATCCCAAACTACCTTCCAGCAGTTATTAATTCACACTTCGACGAATTAGAGGACTTCACAACCTAGTTATTAAAATGGAAGCAAAAAGGCCATAGCAGCAGAAAACTGACACTAGAGTCCTCCAAACAAACAGCCCAATTTTTTTAGAAGCAGATGGATAATCATCGACAATCAAGGCCCCAAATTATGGTCGATGATTGAGGACAAGTAGTAATAACCGACACCGAAACAGCATACATACTTAACAAATATTAGCCAGCCACCTATACAGTTCTTAATCAACGAACTAACATCTTTCACCCTTAGTCAGCTCCATTTGAGTGAACGAACTGTCAAAAAACTACCAAAAAACTCCCTATCTCCGCATCTTATAGAAGGGATAAAATCCCACTTTGAATATTAAAACCTGTGGTATATGCTCCGATACTCCTCTCCGGGCCATTCGCTTTACTCCAATCAACTACAACTTTTCAAAGCATTTGGGAATATTCGAACATTGCACCGATCTTGAAAGATGACAATTGATCTGATACCTACGGCTATAGTAGTGTTCACTGAGCAAACACGATAGCTAAAATCCCCGAAACATATTTACAACCAAACGTTGAACCATCTTACACGCGCTTTTCCACCTAAAACTTCATGTCAGTTCTACCATCTCACTTTTTAAGAATTCATTTCCCACAGCATAAATGACGGCAACACGGTGGCTACAATATAGTTCGGTCTTCAAAAGGCCTTCGTGGGCGGTTGAGGATCAAAACTGCCTCGAAAGAGTCCAGAGGAGAGCCACGAAGATGGTTAGGGGTCAAAGCTCCTTTCCTTATGCAACCCACCTAGTAAATCTAAACCTCTTTCCTTTAAGTTACAGGCAACTTCGTGGGGACCTCTTGCAAGTTTTCCGCGTTGTTAAGGGGTTGAATTGCAGTCTGGCCTTCGAGGACTTTTTTGAATTTGCTACCACGACCAACCTCCGAGGACGCAGGCAAGGTTGGATGTGCGGAAGCGTTCCTTGCCAATAGAAGCAAAGAGACGAGTCCCAGGAAGTAGTCTTGCAGAAGAAGACACGAACGCCGGGACAAGATCGATGGATTCGAGTAGGAATCCGAAACGTCACGCTAATAAAGCTCTTTTCCCGGCGATCGTGTCTCCTTTTTCAGGAAGTGTTCCTTCTCTGTTCGAGTGGTCAAACCATGGAATGCCCTTCCTCCAGATGTTGTGATGTCACCATCTGCACAAAGTTGTAAAAATAATCTGGACATATTTATGTTCCGAAATGACCAAGAGCGATGAGAAGTAGAGCTCACCCCCTGTAACTCGTTCTCTTTTTGTCCTACCATTATGGGCGTGTTTGAACTATTTCAGCCCAGAAAATTTATCTGTATACCAAACATTTTTTACGTTGTAAATAGGGTACTCAAAGGCTTACGCTTATTTCCCTCAATAAACTGAACTGAATTGAACTGGCAAAGCTACCCGTAAAAGACTAATAATACAACTAACAATGCCCTCCTTCTCTATTTTTCCAAACCGTACGTTCAAAAATTATATCAAATGGTACAGGTTCGAAATGTAGTCTCACAGTCATCTCAGATTACCAGTGGGGTACTTCAGGCCACGGAAAGGATAGGTTGTGTAACCCCACTGGATTTAGCTTACATAGCTAAGGATTTGTTATGCTTATTAATTCATAGCCTCAGGAAGTCTCTGTTTCTGTTATCTAGCACTCTGATATAGCCGCATGCACCGTTTAGTTCAGTATGATTTTTTAGGGATATATTTTTGGCCTGATATGCTTTCTCCCCCTTCCCTTGATCTTTTTTGTCGTAAATGCATTTCCTAGTTACCCCAGTGCACTGGTATTACCTTTTGTTGTCGATTTCATACGCCGGGACTTACTCATTTATTCCGTAAGGGTAGTTAAATCCTTTGTGCTATGCTGATGTTCATCGTACTATGCGTGTTGCAAGGACGGCTATTATAAACGTGCAACTTTCCTTAGTACTTAAGTGCAATCACACATTATGCAAGAATTTTTATTCAAAGTAGCACCAAGTAACCAAAAATTTCCTTTTGAATTCACCGAATGCATGCGAATAAAGACTTTAATCATGAACGCGATTTTTTCTCACCCTGGTTCACTGGTATTACCCTCACATAGAAAAGCCAAAACTTTAGTGGTGCGGCTGACAAACATGAAATTCTACGTTATTCATATTGATCCAGCTGTCAAAAACTCAGTGCCTCCGTTGGATTCGAACTCACGCAGTAAGTGAAAGGCTTTAGTGCAGGCAACTCTATAACCACTTGAGCTACGAGGCCACGCCGGACGACGCGAGTTTAATCATATTTGGATTTTACGTTATGTACCGCCTGAAAATTCATAGCGGATGCTCTTTTGTCGCACAGCGTGTATTTAGTTTAGATATTACGACAAATTTTAACACGAGGTTGCTGACATCGCGATGTGGTTAGTCCCAGTTAGCGGACATCTTCAGGAAGAAACTCGAGAAGAACTGATTGCATTTGTTTACAGGGCTCCTAGATTTCTACGTCCGACATGGTACTAAAATTTCCGCGATTACAAATGGAAAGCTTGATTTGCATAATTGGTAAGACTTTGAGATATCAACCCCCACCACCTACATTCATGTATCGTGTCTACTTATTTGATTTGGGTAGCTGGAAATACAATAGCAGAAATCCCAGAGGCCAACTGCCGTTAATGGTGTCTTCCAAGAAAGGTAAGACACGAAAATAGGAACCCACTGTGATACGGGGAGCTCCTGCGCTGCATTCCAGAATAATTAAGGTTAGGGTGGGATTAGAGCCAAGATTAGGGTTATGGTAAAGGTTTTAAGTGGGGTTAGTACCAGGCCTGGGGCTGCGACGCGTGAATTAGTACCCGTCCTGGAAATTACA